CTGGAAAAAAAAGATCAGGCATACTGTAGTTTTCAGAAAATATCCTGACCCAGGTAAGTCCAAAGTGCTGCCCTCTGAAGGATTTTCTACAGCCCCCGGTTCTCAATAAAAGCAGAGGTGGGTGCAAACTAACAATTTTCATCTTCTAGACCAAGGTTTTTACAGAGAACATCCATTTGTTAATGACACTTTTGTATTCAACTTCTTTGTAGGAACTCGAACCACAAACACGACCTACATTTACTCAAACGCAAACCAAATAAGAAAACAATACTAAACCCTGAAAAATTTGAAACTTTGAGCCTGTCTTATAATGCAGACATGCACAATCTTTGTTTTGTTTTGTTTAAATTTTTAACTCTTTCATCTCCTCATCCATCCAGCCCTTTTCATTTGCCTTAATATCATATGTCATCAGAGCGATGTGTCTGTCTCGCTGTCAGCTCCCAGATCAGCTTCTCTGATTGGTTGATGCGGCGCGTCCAGCAGCAAAAGTTCAATTTTTCCATCTCGAGCAGTAGCAGCGCTTCAACCGCGTCAGATGCTTAAACGCTCCCGATGCGCTGCGCCTGCTGCTCAAAATGCGCTGCGGGACCTTTTGCTGAGCCTATACGCGCGTCAACCATTGACTTTGCATGTAAACTCGCTGCTTCTGCTGCGCCTGCTGCGTCCGGTTCACACCGATGTCGAGCTGTTGAATAACAGCGAGCACAGCATTCATTTGTTTCACCATGTTTTTCTCATCAGCTGTGAGATGGGCAGGCATGGAGTCACAGATTAACAGCGACGGTGATGAGTGGAAAAAAAACACCTGGTCTCCTTACATTCACCTCCCTCAGCCACTCTTTCATCATCTCCTCAATGAGGGGGTCTAAAAAGTTGCAGTTACAATACACATAGGGCGCACCGCACCTTTTGAGGTAAAAAAAGACGTTTATGTGCGCCTTATAGTCGTGAAAATACGGTAAATTCTGACACCCGGGGCCCTGGGCTGCAGCCCCGGTAAGCCCCTGCTAAAATCCGGCCCAGCACATGTAGTAAACTTGAATGTCAAGATCAATATGATTTAGTGTATTTATTTACAGTCCAAATAACATTCGTATGAAAAGTGACGTATGACAGTTTAAGGTTATGTTTTATGTGTACAGTATGCAATCATTATGAGTAAG